CTATGCTGTCTTTTAAAAAATATGACTAGAAAACGCGTTTAAGACCTTATGTTAGATCTGAAATGGTTCGTGCAAAATAACTAGAAACAGAAAACAAAATATATCAGTTTTGACAAAGATCAACAAAGTTTTGAAAACTTAAATGGATAGAACACGCTAAGACATATACTATGGTAGGGATTCCGCATTTCTTCTTCTGATTAATATCAATCATTTGAATAAACAATCGAAACAGCAGTTTGAATAATCGTTTCGATACAAATTGACAATAGTACAACTGTTTTGACAGATTATAATTTTACCACCGAAATTCTGGTGCAGTCTCCTCAACTTATTAAATATATTCGTTTAAGTTTGCAAATCGTGACATCGTACAGAAAAATTGCACACTTTTATGCATCGAATTATCAAATTCGATAAAACTACCGTACAATTAATTTTCTCTAGAAACTCTTGATTATTAGAGATATGTTTCTATGTTCGTATCAAAAACGTATTGTTCCTTTACTCTTGTCTCATCATAGATTGAAATGGCTCTTATAAATGATAATGCTAAATCGAACAATCGCTTGTTTCCTCGGAACAATATATTCGTCGCTGCAAATGAATACTCGAACTCAATTTCAAATGCACAAAGTACAGAAAACTTTCAAAATACTATCATCAATTCAATTAAAACTCATATGACTTTACAGAGAGCGTATGATTTTTTGTTTTGATGTGAAATATGAGCATTTTTGCTTGTTCGTAGGAAAATATGTCTCTGGTCAACACTGAATTCAATAACCAAACCTATCTATGCATTTCCTATATTCACGCTCATTGTTACGACCATCGGCATACTGGTAGTTTGTTGTGCTGTACCAAGACAAGTAGGTAGGTCCTTCTTGTTTTATATTCTTTGTACTCAAAAGTTTGAAAGTCCGCTGCTAGATTGATTCTTTTTTACACATGTTGCGGATTTTGGATGAATAAAATTAAATTGTGATCACCTCTAGTATCGAAATGTTCAATGTAAATCATCAGATGAGGACTGAATTATAAGCATTACAACTTTTTCACTTGTCACAGTCATATTAGCAGTTTCAATGTAGTATGTTAGAACATAAACTAGTCAAAGTGTATGTTTAGGTAGAGTTCACAACATCTGATGGATAAATCAAAACCAAAGTTGTCATCAATTCATATGATCAGACGAAGACAGGTCTTAACCACAAACTAGTTCTAAAAAGTTATTATTATCTGATCAAAACTGTGAGACAGAATAAAAAAAGTTGGTCTAAAATTCCAGTAGAGCACTATGTACTCAGTAAAGGATATACATTATTTTTTTAAAGTATAACTTCTTGACATGAAACGAAGATGGAATTTCTTCAGATTACACGTACATCATAGTGCTAGTTATTGTATTCATATGATGTGCATTATGTGAAGAAAAATCTTGAAAATAGCATAAAAGTAATGCTCTATATACGGATCACTAGAAATTTTGTTAAAAGCTTTAAAAGAACATCTTATAGCTAAGCGATGCATGAAAATAATTTAACAGGGTTGTTGCCTGGTGATATCATCTTATCTATAACTTTTTCAATTGGCTTAAGAAATCTTGTTAAACAAATAAAACTTAGTCGAATGCGTCTACATTTGTACGTTTTGTTACATAACTATTTCTTACTTTCGTAATACTGAAATACATTCTGATCACAGATACTCGTTGGGGCACTCAGATGGTCAGGGCCCATGGAGAACCCATGGGGTGACGCCCTAAATGGGGATGGGGCGATATGTTAGCCCATCGTCTTTCCCCATAAGAGTGGATTTTCGCAAATTCATTTCCCTACCCATGGTGTGGATCATGGGGTGAAAAATCTTTAAATCCCATGGTCTAAATGAACGTTTATCATGTATGGAATCATTTGAAAAAAATAGATGACGAGATCGTATAAATTGTCTTATCGTCGTACGAATTATGAAGAATGTTACACGTTCTGCCTATACATTTTCTCTTTTGTTCTTCATTTTTGTTTTTCGCTGTTTTTCTTTCGTGTTCAAGTAATAATATGAAAACGATGTTTCACCCTTTCGTTTTCTTTCTATAATTTTATAGTGACCTTCACTATTTCTTTCATTTTTCGAGCCGCCGTTACTTCTTCTCTTTACTTTCTGCGTTCATCTTTTCATCAGTGACATACTTAGAGTACACAAAAAGTAGTGGTACAGGTTCTGTAATTCGCTATAACACGTTTTAAGAAACTTTCTCTCTATATAGTTTGATAGAGAAAAGAATGTTCCATATTTCTATAGTATATGATTATACTTCAACTAATATTATAATAATAAACTTTCAATAAGATCTGTTTTGTTCACATGTATTACAACAACATGAATGCTAGCAAGTATTTTCTTTTGAATAACTTTTGATAAAAAGAAAAAGAAGATAGAGAACTGTAGTTTTCATTATTAAAATCAAGAAATAAAGATGCATCGAATTGTATATTAGATGTTTTTTTAATATTGATTTTTGAAGTATTTTTAGTCAATTTTCTAATCGTCAGTAAAATGGTTTTTTATGAAAAAAACGGAAAAGCAGATAAGTTATCTTTTATCATAGAAATTGCTAGAAAGTCGTATCAGAGGCTCCACTAGAATACAAACTATTGATATCAAACGTCTGCAGTCTGTAGATTTTCGATTAGTGATTTGAACCTATACTTGATAATTGAAATTTCACTATAAACAACTTACTAAATAGATTCTTTCTTTAAAAAGTCAATTTAAAACGTCACAGAAAACAGATCAAAAAATTCTGTCATATATAATTTGAATGAATTATCTTTCCTGTTCGCCCTATGGGTGGGGCGAAGGGCGCCCATGGTTGGAGGTGAGCTGAAGTTCAAAAACCTAGACTCCCCATAGGTGGAGAAAGTAGTTTTATAAAAATTGGCTTGTGGGAAACCCTGCGCATGGGGAGCCCATGGGCCCCATGGGATGCTGAAAAATATCGCATGAGCATCTCTGCTTCTAATGTGCTTTAGTCAGAAAATTTATCTGTAACATTGGCGAATTTTATCGATTTATTGCCGACTTTCATCCCGCAAAATGTTTCTCTAAATGATGGCAGACTCTTACATCATATAATGATGTTTTTACTCAAAGCACGAATCTAGGTATTCTTTCAACTTGTTTGTAAACTTAATCATTTTCTCTGTAAAACGTTCAAACATATTCATTAAAAAGACGCTTTTCAATAAACCACCAAGCTGAAAACTAAATGGTATTCGAGCTTCACTGCGAATACGAAATGCGGCACGAAGCACTAGTCTTTCGAATTTTTCGGAAAAACGATATTTCTCTGAAAATGATAATTCGATTGTCTAAAGTACACCAATCGCTATTACTTTTTGACGAGTCAGCTGATATAAGTCGTGATAAAATTCAAAAGAATTATAATAAAATCCATTACCATGAGAACTCTATATCGATGAATATAAATACTCCTGCTTCGCAGAACATTAATAAAGAAAACTCCTAATGCAGTTCTATATAGGTGGTTCGCACCTTAAGTGGGGTATTAGCACAATATAGTTAGTGCATTGTCAAAAAGTTGGAAAAAGAAATCGACATTGGTTTTTCTATAATATTGGTTATGCCAATGAAATAATATGACAGTTCAAATCGGTCCACCTGAAAAGCTAAACAATACCTTAGGCAAATGAAAAAATAGCATTTCTGTGATGTACTAAAACTATTCTAATTAGTATATATTCATGTGTTTCTCAAACTAAGCGAAGAGTATATTCAGTTGTAGAAGATTTTACCAACAGTCAGTGTCAGTTTACTCTGGTACGGGCAGATCACTGTTCATTGTCAGGTAATATCACACAATGAAGTCCACGTCTCAAAAAGCAAACTTTTTCTTTAAAGAGAGCTGTTTTTTTTCAAAATATCTGAAAAAACAACGTACATCCATCTATCGAAGATATTATTGCTTTCAAATCTAAACAAAAGTAATGAACATTTAGAGGTACTCACCTGAGTAAATCTCTATCGTTTGAAACATCATATTAGATTTACAAGTGTCCTAACTTTAAAATCATTTTGTCGTATGAAGTTTTACTAAAGAATGCAATTTACAAGCTACACAAGAATACATCTTCTGCTCTTTAGATCGACCATGTCAACGCGTTTTTAAAGCAAACATAAGTCATTCAACTGGCTTTAATTCGCATCCGCAATCAGCTGTCGTTAACGATTTAAATAATGACACTCGACTCGATATTGTTGTAGCGAATTCTGGAACAGACACTGTTGGTATCTTTTTTGGTTCAGAAGATGGAACTTTTCAATCACAAGTGACCTATTCAACTGGTTCCGGATCTCAGCCATATTATGTGATAGTAGGCGATTTTAACAACGACAATCGACAAGATATTGTCACTGCCAACCACGGTACCAACAGTATTGGTATATTGGTCGGACACGGCAATGGAAATTTTGCAAGTGTGCGCCTTTATTCACTTGGCTCTTCTCGACCAGTATCGGCTACTGCTGCTGATTTGAATAACGACATGAGTCTTGATATAATCGTCGTAAATTATGATACTAGTAGCATAGGCATCTTACTTGGATATGGTAACGCATCTTTTTCTTTGCAAACGAAATATTCAACTGGTTACGATTCTCATCCGCATTCTGTCATTGTTGCTGATTTGAACAGAGACAGCCACTTGGATATTATTATCTCTAACTCGGGTACTAACAATATAGCTGTATTTTTAGGTTACGGTAATGGATCTTTCTCAATCCCAAAACTATACTCAACTGGCGTTGGTTCACTTCCATTCACAGTCGTTGTTGGTGATTTGAATGGCGACAATAGACTGGATATTGTGGTCAGCAATTATGGGACTTCCAGCGTAGGTGCATTTCTTGGTTATAGTAATGGAACGTTTTCAAAGATAAAAATATCTTACATTGACTCTGAATTTCGTCCATATGCCATGGTTATTGGAGATTTCAATAAAGATAATATACTAGATGTAGTCGTAGCTAATCCTGCGAGCAGTAATATTGTTGTACTTCATGGAACAGGCAATGGATCATTTACGAGTCAAGAGACACATTCAACTGGTTTTGATTCTACTCCAATATCTATTGTCGTTGGTGATTTCAACAATGACAATCGATTAGATCTTGCCACGGTCAGTAATGAAACTAACAGTATAACAGTATTTCTTAGATATGTCGTTAAATCCTTTGCAAACCCAACAAGGTATTCAATGGGAGCACAGTCTTTTCCGATATTCGTCGCTGTTGGTGACTTCAATAATGACAATCAACTAGATATTGTTGTCGCTTTTTCTAATACCAATAGCATAGGCATACTTATTGGATATATTAATGGAACATTTGCAGCACAAACAACATTTTCCACTGGAAGTGATTTTGATCCTCGATGGATCGATGTAGCCGACTTTAACAACGACAGTCTTTTAGACATTGCTGTTGTGTATTTTAATACTAGCAATTTAGGCATCTTTCTTGGATATGGCAATGGCACCTTTGCACTACAAAAGCCATTGTCAACTGGCTATAATTCTATGCCTTGCTCATTGGCTACAGGTGACTTTAATAACGATGGTTTATTGGATATTGTTGTTGCTAATTACCGTACAAATAATATAGGTATCTTTTACGGATATGGCAACGGCACTGTTGCAGCTCAAAAGACAATTTCAACTGGCGACAATTCTAGCCCTATCTCAATCGCTGTAGGTGACTTTAACAACGACAGTCTGCTTGATATCGCAGTCGCTAATTCTGGTACTAATAATTTAGGTATAATTCTCGGATATGGTAATGGAAGTTTTGCAGCACAAATTATATATTCAATGGCAAACAGTTCTGCTCCTCGTTTCGTCACTTTAGGGGACTTTAACAATGATAGTCTTTTAGACATTGCTGTCGCCAACTCTGAGAGTCACGATGTAGTTATACTTTTTGGATGGAGTAATGGAAATTTTGAAAAAATGACGGCATATTCCATGGGATATGGCTCTTATCCGGTATCACTTGTAGTTGGTGATTTCAATAATGATAATTTATTTGATATTGCCGTATCGAATTCTGGCGCTAATACTATAGGCATACTTTACGGACATCGAAATGGAACTTTTGAAATGTTAAAAATGTATTCACTAGGCAATGGTTCTCGTCCTATGTCGATCACGACTGGAAATTTTAACCACGATATATGGCTAGATATTGTGATAGCTAATTTTAATGGAAACAGTGTTAGTGTGCTTCTCGGACTTGATAACATAGATGCAGCCAATCAAACAAGCTATTCAACCGGATCTGGATCACATCCTTACTCTGTTGTAGTTAGTGATTTCAACAACGATACTCTGTTGGATCTCATGATCGTTAATTCAGCACATGACAATATTGGTATTCGTTTAGGATATGGAAATGGAAATTTTGATGACGAAATTATATATCCTATTGAGAGTAATTCACGTCCTCAATTCGCCATTGTAGGAGATTTCAACAAAGATCACAAAGTTGATATTGTCATCGCCAACACTCGAAAAGATAGTGTGACTGTGGCTTATGGGAATGATAATGGGACTTTCACAAGTCAAGAAATACTTTCGACCGGAAACGGTTCCAGTCCAATCTCTCTTGCTAGTGGTGACATTAATAATGACGGCCGACTAGATCTTATCATTTTGAACGAGGGCACCAACACACTTGGCGTTTTTCTCTCTTTCGACTATGCAACATTTAGAAGCTATAGTTCATTCTCAACTGGGACATTTTCTAATCCTTCGTCGATTGCTCTAGGCGATTTTAACAATGATAGTCTACTCGATGTCGCTGTCGCTAATTACATGAATAATAGTGTGGGAATCTTTCTTGGATATGGCAATGGGACCTTAGCAGTGCAGACAATCTATTCCACTGGAATAACATCTCGATCCATATTTGTCATTGTAAGTGACTTCAATAACGACAATATTCTTGATATCGCTGTCGCTAATAATGGTGGTAATAATGTTGGGATCCTTTTTGGATACGGGAACGGAACGTTTTCAGTGCAAAAAAAACTTTTTACTGGTTATAAATCCGCTCCTTACTCCGTTGCTATAGGCGACTTCAACAAAGACGGTCTGCTCGATATCGCTGTCGTTAATTTCGGCATTAATAATTTAGGCATATTTCTCGGTTATGGTAACGGGAGTTTTGCATCTCAAACGCCATTCTCAACAGGCAATGATTCTAAGCCTGTGTCAGTCACTGTAGGTGACTTTAACAATGACCATATTCTTGACATCGCTGTTGCTAATTATGGTGGTAATAATGTTGGCATTCTTTTGGGATACAGAAACGGAACTTTTGCAGCACAAAAGACACTTTATACTGGCAATAACTCTGCTCCTTTCTCAGTCTCTATAGATGACTTTAACAACGACAGTCTGCTAGACATTGCAGTCGCTAATTCTGGTACTAATAATTTAGGTATATTTCTCGGATATGGTAATGGAAGTTTTGCACCCCAAATGATCTATTCAACTGGAGATAATTCCATCCCATTGTTGCTTACCATCGGTGACTTGAACAATGACAATAGACCAGATATTGTAGTCACTAATTATGGGGTTAACAATGTAGGTGTCTTTTTTGGATATGGTGATGGAAATTTTACTCAACAATTGACAGTTGCAACCGGAAATGGTTCTAGACCGAATGCGGTCGCGATTGGAAATCTTAACACTGACAATCGATCGGATATTATAGTGGCAAATTATCAGAGCAACGATATTATGATACTTCTTCGAGATAGTAGCCAGAGTTTTCTTAGCATGACAACGTATTCAATTGGTAGTGATTCTCATCCACAGTCTATGGTCATTGCAGACTTCAACAATGACCATTACCTAGATATTATCGTCGCCAACTATGGCAACGATAATATTGGTATACTACTTGGGTGCGATAACGGAAATTTTATGAAGCCCATAACATACACAACAGGAAATGGTTCTCAACCCAGTTCAATTGCCGTTGGCGATTTCAACAATGACAGTCTATTGGATATTGTCGTTGCTAATGCTGGTACGAATAATCTATGTATATTCTTCGGATATGGAAATGAGACGTGTTCTCCTATAATACCATATTTAACTGATGACTCTTCACTCCCGTACTCAGTCGTTGTGAGCGACTTCAACAACGACAATTTCCTTGACATAATTGTCGTTAATTCTGGCTCTATATATGTACTTATTCTTTTTGGAAATGCTAACGGAACTTTTTTAGAGTCGAAGTCCTATTTACTGGGTTACGGCTCTCGTCTGTATTCTGTAGCTGTCGGTGATTTCAACAGAGACAGTTGGATCGACATTGCAGTTGCGGATTATGGCACTGACAACGTTGAGATTCTTTTACAAACATGTGATAATACCTGACTTATAGAAGGTCTTTTCTTTTCTTTTTAAGTTTTATTTACTTCTTACGCAAACTTGTCTTGTTTTAGATATATAAAGTCCTTTTCTTCTGTCCTCTGCTAACTTTGTGCTAACTAGAAAGCCAATCTCATCTAGCCTATTGGTTTTATTTGAAAAGTTCTCTCAAGACTAGGAATTGCAAATTGGAACCATTTATAAGTCGAGACGATACGGCATGATTGTGTTATATGAGTCAAGCAACTATGGCGTGTTTTGGCCTTACTCAAGTCTCCCATCAGACAGTTTTGACTTAATGTATGTTCAAGCGAACCTTAGATGGCAAACAAAATATAACATTTACACATAGTCTTCATGCTATCTATAGGAAGATACTGGGAATATCGGTTTTGCAACACAGAATCGAGGTGTCATCCTAATTCAATTAATCCAGAGACGGATTTAGCTTTTATTGATCATGTTTATTACCGATGATCAGAAAACTGTTGTACTAGCGTGATCTTTCTGTCACTAGGAAACATTTAGTCTTTTGTAAGTAAACTAAATCATTTTTAATTTATTTTGTGGAAATCAATTATGTTTTTCGAAGAAAATCGTAAGTGTAAATTTAAAGTCAAAGTTTTCTGACTCCTTTAACCTCATTACAGACCTGAACAACTGAGATACAATAATTGATATTAAAAAGGCTTATTTGTCATTTAATGTAATGCTTATAATAAGAACGTTAAATTAAGATAAAAAAAAGAATTACGACAATGAAAAATAAGAACTATATATCAAAAACAAAAACGAAAAATGTAGTGTCAGTAAAGAAAAAAAAAAGTGTAATTTTTGCTTAAACTTTAGTAATAAAAAAGACAGCGTTTTTTGACAAATAAATCATCATCGCAAAAGAACTGTCGTCTTTTAAAGATTTTACATTTTCCATATTTGTTCTTAATGTAACGAAGCTAAAGAAGACATGTGGATTTCACATTTTAGCCTCAAAGTAGCTTCTCTGAGAAGTTTTTTTTAGTGTAAATTTTGAAAATTTAAAACTGAAAGTAACTTCAATCGTCTTATGAAAAGGACGATGAAAGCCCCTGACACATTAGAAGACCTGGAGTCTTCTGTTTTGTCTTATCGTTCATAAGTTAAAAGGGAGTCTTCAATTATGTCCCTAAAATAAGTCATATATTTTGACAGTTCCGCCAATAAATCTTAGTTTCACTTGATTTTTATTCAATATATCGTTAGCAAATGAGTTTGTTTTACTTATTTCACTTTTGCAGAGTAAAAAAAAAAAGAAATAGATGTTATCCTGTGCAAAAATGGAGACCATGGTTCGTAAGAAGTGTTCTTAGAAGTGTACAGTCAACGTAGCCTAGCATTTGAGTACGATATCTGGTAGCGTTGTTTTTTTTTTGCAAGGCTAAGACTTATCACTGGCGACATTTTATCTTTTCGATAACTAATTAAATAAGTGTAAAAAGAAAAATTATTTTTTTTTATCAAAGATTATTTAATTCAGTTGCTCATGTCAACATTTGTTTAGTATATATGGAATTCGTTCACAGTGAAATCTGCTATCAGCGTAGTTATTAATCTCAAACTAACTTCAATGAATACGATTGTCTTATGAAGAAACTATTTACAGGAAATCAGTAGCTGAACACACATTCTGTGCTTTCTTTTGTGTCTATTTCGAAAGATGCCTTTGGACCTTATTGAGAAAAGAAATACGTTCACAAACTCTAACGAATGAAACAATGACCTATATACATAAAGTTATATTTTCTTTAATTATCGAAAACTGTTTTGTGGTGCAAGCGTTTCTGACTTTTCAGAAGAAAATCGAAGATGAAGAGGCCTTTCATTTAATACACATCAACATTTTACCTAATTTGTTACTGCTGTGCAAAGATCTCTTCATGTATTATACGCGCGAAAATGCACCGTGCTCATTAGATATTATGACCATGGAAATGTGTTTTTCGTGCATAGAAACTGAAGAACGTTTTTAGAGTAAGCTGTAAAGGAATACTAAAATGACTCTACAAGATGTTTTTAACAAAGAAATGCGATCTTTAATAGATAGATCTTTCCTATAACCTGCTTCTCAAGATTTCACTGGCTCGAATTTGACACTTCGTTATAAAGATCGAAGCAAAATATTTTTCGTATTGAGTTTAAATATAATTATGGACTTAAATACTAGAAACGTCAATAAGCTTCAGAAACTATTTTAAAAATATCGATTTTTTGAGAGATGTCTTCTAATGTATCACGGAGTTTATTTCATTTCAGATTATTTTCAATTTATTCTTGTTAATTTCAATTTTTTTAATCCAAACTATTTTTTCCTCGGTTTCATCGATGAAAATAAAATTTTTAATTAGTTCTATTCATTTCATGTAATTAATTTGTTCATCTATGATACACACTTTTATTCATAGAGAAAGTCGAAAAAATCTGCATAAATTTTTACTAAATAACAGTTTAATATTTCTATCAACATGTAGAAGTTGATCACTGATTGTGTAGTTCAATCGACTAAACGCTTAGTAAGTGACACATTGTTTATATAATGGAATGAAACTTTCTTTCCTATGCTTCTAACATTTAGACAAGTTCAGATTCCACTACTGCATAATACTGCAATTCCTCCTGCTACACGTCGTGAACTCCCTTTCTTTTTGTTTTTTTAGTTCAAATCATTTTTGGACGGACGACAATTGAATAGTCAGGACATGAGCTGTAGACTACTACAAATGACTTAAGACTAGTAAGATGTGAGATCTTATTATAAAAAGACTAGACAAGACATACCGTCACGACTACAACAAAAGGTTAGATCTATTATCTTTTCTATGATCGCCTGGGAAGAATACCAATCATTCAGCTTATCATTTTTGTCTTCGAAGACAAGTTACTGAAATTTATTTATTTGTCGAAGATTTATCAGAACTCATTAATGACGATGATATCTAAACTCGTTCACATTCTACTTTCCTTCTAACTTGATTGTGTTATGACATATTCTTGACTTGATTGTAGATTATAGTAAACATACTTTTTCATCATTTCTACGTCATTCAAATACAAAGTCAAACAATCAGTGCGTTTTTGACAATGACACTCGGGTACGTCTCTTGTCTCCTTGGGCACCATGAGTTAGAATAAGTTTCTGAGTGACTCACCGGGAAACGTTTTCAGCTGTTAAATTTGCTTTCCGAATGAAACTATTGCCATACAACTAGTTGCGATAAGTAGCGAACAACTCCATCTCAGTTTTGCCGTCTAGTCTCATCTTCTCAAGCTAATGAAAAATATTCCTTAGAAAATCACGATTATTTTAGTTTGCTAAGGACGAATTTTGATTGTTTAGAGCAATCTCCAAAGTCTTTCTAAAAAACCCGATTACGATTGATTAGCAATTACAGTACTCGCAAAAAAGTATTGTCTATGCGATGAATGCTATTTAAAACTTAATCATTTGGACTCATTGTTTTTTGCCGTACATAGAATTCAGTGAACCTTGATCGTAGATTCTTGTCAAACATCGATTGGACGGTATATCATGAAGTTGTTAGCTGAACACTATCATCTACTTGTGACAACCTGACCTTAACTGGTTTTTGAAGTTCAATTGCATGCGATCGTTCATTTGAAAGCCCAAAAAATGAGCAGTGTGCGATGAGAGTTTAGTAAAAAAAAAATATTTTGAATTATTTAAGATGTGATCTTTGTAATGAAAATTTCTTTCAAGTGGATATTGCTAGTCAGTAGTTTGATGTTAACAAATCGTGACTTAGGTTTGATCGATTCACTTCAAAACTTCACTTGAAATAATTTAATTGTACACAGAAAAAATATTTCACGTTTCTTAGATCTTCATGTAAAGGACTTTGTTGATAGGTCTTTGAAATACCGAAAATCAAATCACTACTAGAGAATAGAGAAAATATAATTGATTGATTATAGTTCGCATAGAATTGAATCAAAGAAGGTTCTGTGTACCTATTCTCAACAGTATCTTATTTTTAGACGCCGAGCTCAAACTTCATGGATAACAATAATGTATAACCTCTATATTCCAATAGTTGTTGTAATTGTCGCAATAGTGGTGATCTTGTCGTTGATACCGGTATATTTGCCAACTAAATCAATCACACCTGCTAAGAGTAATATAATACAGCCTTTCATCTGACCAAATGTTTTTATTTGACATTTATCTCAGTTACACTTAGCTTCTCTGTGATATACATAACAAGCTTAAAGAATATGACATCTTTGAAATTGGCAAATACAAATGAACTGGTTGAACAGGTATGCGACCGTTTTTCATTTGCACTGCACTATTGTTTGCGAATATTCAGCTTGGCAAAGTATACGGTCTTCAAGGAAAGATAAAGCCGACTATTGCATATGCTTTCCTTCCGATGAATACTCTATCAAGTAACGGTAGAAAGCGAAGGTCATTAAAAGCTTTTTACTTTTCATTCATAAGTATTTTCTGTACTTTTGTTTTATCATAGAGATATTGATTTTCAACAATGCAGAGACAGCGTATCCCAGGAAGTTGTTTTTCTTGGGGTTGGTTTTTTAGCTACATTCGACACAGCATATGAAGCAGCATTGAAGCCATGTCCAGATGGAAGCAGACTTCCGCAGTCCAGTTCCTGTCCAGGACCACTAAGTGTTACACTGACATTTGAAAATGGCTTGGTTTTATACATCAACTTAACAGTCTGTTCATGGAAAGTAGAAACATCAGGTAATTCTCATACTTAGCTTAGTGCATCTATTATTCAAATCTAAGATAAAAAATGAATTATATAGTTTTGATAAAGTGTCCGAAAAATAACACGAAGCTTCGACGACATTTTTTGTGAAAATTTTGACTCAGTTAATTTATTTGGTTAAAATTGAGCAGATTTTATTGTGATAATTTGTCTTTCTAACATAAAGAGAACTAACTTACTACTTCAGATATCAGTATAGAAATTCGAAGAAATTCTGACGTTTGATGCAATGAAATAAACTTGCATATTTGAAGTCTCTTAGACATTAAAATGCTTTCTGCTGATCACTGATATT